CATAGGTTCACTAGGGAGAAAGAGCCTGAAGGGATTGGGTTGGAAGCATTGTTTGGGATAGACATCTGTAAAAGAAGAACAAAGTTTAGATTAGATGATAATCCTTAATATTACACCCAATAAGAAATATTAAGGCTGGGACCTAACACAATATTCTACAATTGCGAAGAGGGATGCCATAATCCAATTGTAAAATATTTGAAGGTAGGTAAATGACGATTTACCAATTTCCACCATGAAAAACGAAATAGATTAAGTTTTAATTGGATTTGAAATTCCAAGATCTTTGAGATTCATTGAAATTTTCAGTGGCATGTTTAAATCTCGATTGTGCCCTTCAAGTTTGTGACTGGGATGCCGAGGATCACAAACAAGGAGTGAATAACCATGCAAATTAACTTGGTACACCCAATGTTACAAATCACCTAATCAATGTGTCGGTTAACCACACACACTCCAGTGATCTATGATTAACACCAAGTTACCCTTTGCCACATATTCTCAGTCCCAGATTAGTGTGCCAGTTAACCACACACGCTCCAATAATGACTTAACAAGGTGCAAAGTGTAATTTCATGGATTAGCATAATTTCACATTTTTCCTAAAATAACTAAGATTGGGAATTTAATAAAAGTTTAGTTAGTTTATATTTATCATTATACTTTTTAATGAATGAGAATTAATGTCCTATCTTATCCGTTCGGCTAACGAGCCTCCACCAGTCTAGGAAGCAGTGGGTGAGAGTGGACACCCATTAAACAACCATTTTATAGGCAGTAACCTTATACCCCCTTATAGACCGGCTTCGTGAATGAGGCCTACTAACGGTAAGACTGACTCTGTCTTATACATATATATATATATATATATATATATATATATATATATATATATATATATATATTATTAAACTTATAATATTATAAATAAGGGTTGAATTTTAACTTTTAAAACTCTAGGGTTTGGAATTAAAGTTTCATTGATGAGACTCTACAAATTCCAAAACTAGAGGGCAAGTTTGGAAACTTGTCAAAACTCTTCACATTCATAACTTATGAGTTTAATTAATTTTAATGTAAGCGACCTTTCATTTTCCATAACTTGAGTACAAGTTATGGAGGTCATTAAACATCATTTATATCCTTTTTCTAACAACTAAATTATCACATAATTCATGATCTAACTAAACTCATAGGCAAGATAATTTTTCAAGTCAACAATTTGAAAGCAATTTTGTTTATCATATGAAAACAACAATTATTTTAAAACTTTGACAATTATCTTGTGTTTGGATGAGTACAAGCACTACCATATGAAAAAAAAAATTTCCAATGATCCAAAATAGTTTGTGGTAGCGTTCCTAATCCAAACCAGGCCAAGAAACTTGAAATTCTGCAAACAGGGCCTTCAACTCGTCGAGTACATGAATTGACTCACCGAGTTGTCCTGTTTCCTGAGTGGACTCGTCGAGTCTATTCATGTACTTGGCGAGTTCACCAGTCAGAGGCCAAAATTTCGACTTTTTCAGCTTTGAAAACTAGTAAGCATCAAATATAATAGAAAACAATCCTAGGCTCTGATACCCATGTTGGGTTTTGAGCACTATAACACTCCTATGGTGCACATGCAACCCTAAACGCATTGGATCTATGTTTTCTCTAATTATAGATGCATTTTTCTTTTTCCAAAGCATTCTCCCTAACTAGCATACAATTGAAGCTATATAATATAAAACATAGTTTGGATGCTTACCTCTTGAGTAGAGTAGAGTTCTTGACCTTTGAAAACTTGAGCACCTCAAGTGTGATGCCTCTATTTGTTCACAAACACCAAAATACAAGAGGAGGTTTTAGGAGAATAAGATGCTTGACTCCAAAGAGTGGGTAGCCGATTTTGGCTTATGGGGGGACTATTTATAATGTGGCAAACACTAGGGTTACACTTTGTAAACCTTAATGCTCCATGAATTTTCACATTCTTATGCTCCATGGATTAACCTCCATGGACTATCCATGTATTATCTTATTGGTTTAGCCCAACCATATAGTCATGGATCATTAGCCCACATTACAAGAATCATTGATTTACATAATCAATCTCCATATATTTAATTAGTCTCTTTTGATCACAAAATTAATTCCAAATTAATTCTTGATCAATACTAATTAAATAATATTAAAATATTATACTTGTATTAATAACCTTATTCTAAAAAATCCTTCCTATTAATTTGCACTGGTGAAGGCAACCCAAAAAGGGACCATGCTACAATTGGGTCAAGTACATACCAATTATAGTTATGGGCTTAGAGACCAAATCCAATAGATCCCATCTTTTCAAATTCCTTGGAAATTCAAATATTCAAGGGACGAGATTTTCCTTCAAATTCTCCTATAAATTAAAATCTTATAAGGTCTCGTCACGTTACTTGCAATTTATGAGACCCTTCAAGCTTTCTAGGTAAAATTTATCTTTATTTTTTTATCATTCTTCTTCTTTTTCCATGTTGATATGGGTAATAAAGTTACTAGAGCTAGAGAGTTAGGGTTCAGGGTTATGTGTTCAAGAATTTTTCCGATTTAGGTATTTTTCCTAAAGATTAAAGAAAAACTTGTATCCTCATTGAGTCTGATATTTGGCTTATTCAATCAGAAAACAAATTCTCCATTGGAGCTGTTCTTAGGGTTGATACTCGTTTGAGACATGATTTCTTATCCCCTACTTGGGTTTGTTTCTATGACTTTGTTTTTCCATTAGCCTTAATTGAGCATTCCCACCTTTGATTTCTGAGTTTTTTAAAGTTTCTAGATTTCCAAACGTCCTAATCATGCCTATGATTTGGCGTATATTGTCTTGGGTCTCAAACTTAATGTGTCCGAAAACATGGATCTTAGGTTATCTGAAATTGCTAGTGTGTGTGACCTCCACACCTTTGGCTATTCTCGTATTATTTTCAAGATAAAACCCGAGAAACCCCACCTGATTCTTCAAACTTCGCGCCATGATGTTGGATGGAATAGAAAGTACTTTTTCTTCTACAGGCAGACTCTTAAGAACAAAGTTACTTTTCCCATTGATTTGGGTTACCGAGGGTAGGATTCCTACTTCTAGGGTTTATATTTTGTATTCTTGAGAAGTGGCCTTAATTTCCTACTTATAACAGTTCCCAAATTTGAAGAGTTATTCCCACTTAAAAAAGATACCGAGAGCAAAGTTCAGAAATTCCTGAAGCATTTTGTAGGGAAAAGAAATTTTAAAGTTATTCTGGAGTGCTCATTGTGTGAAGATCTCAACACTTCTCTGGTTATTAGAGATCCTGAGCTGCTTAACTTGTATACTAGTGATTGGTCTCGTTTGTTTTGGCTTTCCTTAAGATTCTTATTAACACTTTGCATTCTTTCTTAGGTTCTAGACTTACCTAATCAGGCTCTGCCTTATCCTCTTTTAATGTCGAGGATTATCTTTTTACTGGCCCCTTTGTTGTGAAAGTTGAGAAAATACGCGTTCCAGGACCAAGAAAGGCGGAAGGCGAGCCTAAGAGTCCTGACCCGAAGAATAGAAAAACTTGCCTTGGAAATTGGTCAATAAAATTTTGAGGGTTTAGGCTCTTTCCAGATCAAATAGAAGCTCATCATGCTCTCCCATACTGTATGTCTAGTTTTGTTAAAGTACTTGTTTCGTTATCATAACTACTAAAAGGAATTCTTCCTTTCAAGATACTACCCTTATGTTGAAGGGTACCGAGAGGTCAAGCGGGATCTTGAAGCCTTGATGAGAAATTTGGAAGTCATGTTGTCAAGAGAAAGAATGGAAGAAGAAGAAGGAAAATGACTTTGGGCTAAAGGTCAAAGATCTTACGGTTAAGAATGTGGAGGTGTCCAAGAAATGCATTGAGCTTGAGGAGAGGATCAAGGAGATAACTAATGAGGCTAAAGTGTTTCTCGTGAGGTCGGTGCTAGAGTTAAGGTTAAAGATCGTGGGTGATCTTAGGAAGTATAATGAAGCTTCCTGGGATCGAGAATCCTGGGAGAATATTTGAGGATGTTGAATGGTGATGATGAGGTTGGTGAGGAAGTTAAAAAAGTAGGTGAAGTGAAGATATACAAGAAGGGGGAGGAGAAAAAGAGGGTCAAGATGTTGAAGATCTAAAAGCTAGGAAAAGTGTTGTTGTTGTTACGGTGAATTCTAGGTGCATGGGTAGCTCTTCGTCTATAGACCTTGTTTAATAAGCATCGGGGAAGTCACTTTGTATGAGACAATAAAGTACTAGGTCAGGAAGCCATACCGAGGGTTGACCCTGGTATTGCTCTCCGATGCCTAAGTTAGATCACGACTATATAAATTGCTTATGATACTTCTTACCTTGCTATCATTTTTCTGGAAGTATTTATAGGGGTTAGTGGTTTTCTTGGTTTAATATTGGGTCCGATCCTTCCTCATTTGTCCGTTAATGGGGAGTTACACCTTTAGTCCTTCCCTTAATATTTTACTGTTGTAGATCCTTTCTTTTGCATGAACCCTGTGATATGCTTCCCATGCCACTCTTTACCCTTGTGTTATTAGTGATGTCTTGCAGGCTTAGTTATGATCGACCTATTCCTTGTTAGTTCAGGAAAATGTGTACCATTATTCGGGTCAATGTACGTTCATGATGGCATGTGATTGTAATCTTTTGATTCCCGACCTAGTGGAGGCGGGCCGGTTGTTGGGTTGGCTTGGATAATCGGCCTGGGTACACCATTAAGCCACCCAATCTAATGGTAAAAGATTGGCACAATTATTTTATCGTTCAGACTCTAGAATCTGCCTCAGTTTTCAAAATGTTTATCACATGGTGTGGGCAGGTGTGCATTAAATAATTGTGTCGTTAGTAAGTCCCATTTTCTATCTTGATTGTATTTGGTTAATTAATGCTTTAACGTGTCCTTGTTGTTATTTAATGGATAAACCTCACGTGTTAGAAGCTTCTTTTTTTCTATCTTCTTTCTTCTCTCCCATCATGGCTATCATGGCTTTTGACATGTCAACTGTGGTTTTTGAGGTGGACAGCTTTATGCTTGATCGGTATGTTCACGAGTATCATTTGTCCCCTATTTTCGGTATTGAACTTCCATCCCTATCATCATCTATTCTTGATGCTCTGTTTGGAAAGGTAGGATATATCTTAGGCACCTGGTTTGTGGTTTAAGATTACCTCCTTCTTCTTTCTTTTTGGAAGTGTTATGTTTTTACAAAGTGCATCTAGTGCAACTTTGTCCTAGTGTTGTATCGAAGTTGTTGACCTTTGAAGCTTTATGTGTCTCTCATAATATTCCTCTAAATGTCATTCTGTTTTGATATTTTTATCGCTTAAAGAGATACGGTGACTGGTACTCTTTCAGTAGTCGTCATTTCCCCCTTTCTCCTGATTTATCTGGTTCAAATGGTGGGTGGAAGAGTAAGTTTTGTTGGGTAGATATTCATAGTTTTCGTCTTCCCTTCATAACCAGTCCTGTACCTCCTGTTGACGCTTCGGTGTCCTTATCCAATGATTTATCGACGTATATAGCTTTTTTTGCATTTATGTGTACGAAGGTCTTTTTTGCCAGAATTGGTACTTGCATTATGTCGTATGAGCTCATATTGGAAAGCTCGATGTGAATTGCCAGTTCTAGTTGTTCTTCATGCAAGTTATTGACTATTTATACCTTTTCCTTGATTTATTAATGCTTTTCGTCAGCTTCATGCATTCTCCTTATATATATGTTGTTTTTTGCTTTGTATATTTTCTCTTTGCTCATTTAATGCCATAGATGGTAGTAAATGCCCGTTTCAGTTGAATAAGTATTTGTATGGTGATATTCATCCCCAATCTCTTATGTTGGAGGCTGTCACTCCGGATAAGGACATGGACTCGGATGCTATAGTTCTCGGGTCGCCTCTTAGGCTACATGGGTTCGGATCAGATACTTTTTTTTCATTGGTCAGCTTGTGAAAACTTCTTGCCCTTCTTTTGTTGTCCCATCGTACATTGATTCCTCTAGCGTTATGGATGTTGGTTCCATAAGTACTCCTTCTCTTAGTCTTAAGTGCAAACGATCTTCACCACCTCATCAGTTTAAGCACTTTTTGTGTGAAGTTTCGGGAGGTCCTCATTGTGTATCTCCCTTTCCCTTAGTTCGTATTCCCCCGATCGTAGATGGTATGTTTGATATATATATATATATATATATATATATATATATATATATATATATATATATATATATATATATATATGTGTGTGTGTGTGTATTTTTGTGTCTGAGACTTAGTAGGATTATAATAATTTCTTTGTTCCTCCCCCCCCCCCTTCTTCTCTTAAATGTATACATATGGTTGTTCTTCATGTATTTGGTTTAAGGAGGAACTAAATGAGGCATGTCTTACTATAGCTCGTGCTGAAAATATCATATCTACGGTTCTCGGACTGGAATTGAAGTTTTTTGATGGGTCATTAAGTCTTCGAGTTTGTTATTTGTTTGTTGAGGTTAGTTTACGGGCTGCGGAAAGTATGAATCTTACAGGTGAGGAAATGTTATTCAAGGCTCGGAAGATGTATGCCGAATTGGATGGTCGCTACCGTGATGTTGTTGGCAGGGTTACGATATTGGAGAATCAAATGAGACTCTTGGAATCAAATTATGAAGCATGTCTTCAAGAAAATTATGTGCTTCGTGCCAAGCTTACATCCAAATCTCCTTGATTCTTAAGATGTGGGTCGGTTATGCTTTTCTTTTGTTGCAAGCAATAGTTTATCCCTTGCTTGTGGGCCTAACCAAACCTTTTGTCATGAACATGGTTACTTGATAGGTTTTGTTGTTTTTTTGTCCAAAAATCTTTTTTAGTAATATAAATTTTGTACCTTGCATGTTTGTTTTTATGAAATGTTATCCTGTATACTTGGTTCCCTTTTAAAAAGAAGTTTTAACAGTGGTGTTTCATGGTTCGAGCATATTTTTTAGAGAATTAGTGTATTCTTTTGGCTAAATAGGTAGCCTAAGTCAGAGTGTAGTACTCGATCTTGAATGTAAGTGTAGTCTGTTGACCAAGCCACACATGATTTGCAAAATATATCTATTCTTTGGCTAGGTGGCTAGCCTAGGTCAGAGTGTAGTACTCAACCTTGAATGAAAATGTAGCCGACTGACCAAACTACATATGATTTGAAGAATAATTGTATTCTTTGGTTAGGTGGGTAGCCTAGGTCACCTCACCAAACTACATATGATTTGAAGAATAAGTGTATTCTTTGGCTACATATGATTTGAAGAATAAGTGTAGTACTCGACTTTGAATGTAAATGTAGTCGGCTGACTAAGCTACATATGATTTGAAGAATAAGTGTATTCTTCGACTAAGCGGGTAGCCTAGGTCGGAGTGTAGTACTCGACCTTGAATGTAAATGTAGTCGGTTGACCAAGATACATATGATTTGAAGAATAAGTGTATTCTTTGGCTAAGTGGGTAGCCTAGATCGGACTGTAGTACTCGACCTTGAATGTAAATGTATTCTGCTAACCAAGCTACATATGATTTGAAGAATAAGTGTATTCTTTAGCTAAGCGGGCAGCCTAGGTCAGAGTGTAGTACTCGACCTTGAATGTAGTTGGCTGACCGAGCTACATAATATTCGAAGAATAACTGTATTCTTTGGCTAGGCGGGTAGCCTAGGTAAGAGTGTAGTACTCGAACTTGAATGTAAATGTAGTCGTCTGACCAAGCTACATATGATTTGAAGAATAAGTGTATTCTTTGGCTAAGCGGGTAGCCTAGGTCGGAATGTAGTACTCGACCTGGAATGTAAATGTAGTCAGCTGACCAAGCTACATATGATTTGAAGAATAAGTGTATTCTTTGGCTAAGCAGGTAGCCTAGTTCAGAGTGTAGTGCTCGGCCTTGAATGTAAATGTACTCGGCTAACCGAGCTACATATTATTTGAAGAATAAGTGTATTCTTTAAATTTCTGCCATTTTATTTAATGTTAAATATAGATTGTTGTCGCAATTGCTCTTCTTCTCTCACCAGCTTATAGCCGTCTACATTTCCTTAGCTACTCAGATGTAGAATTTTGTTAGGTTTTTTATGTGCCCGGATCGTAGTACCATTTCTCCTTCCATTGTTTGTAAAATTCAAGATCCATCTCTATTTTCTTCTTGTATGTTGTATGGGCCTTCCTATACTAGTCTTATTTTTCTTTGCGGCTCTTGTCTAATGGCTTCATTATTCCTTAGTACTTGCTTCCTTGTCTTGAAAGATCTGCCCTTAACTCTTTGGTTATAAAGGCTTTCTGTATGTTTTTATAGTGCTCTCGTCGTATTGCTGCTACTTCCCTCCATTCCATAGACACGTCTAAGTGTGCTCCTAAGTCTTCATTATTGTTTACCACATCGAAATTTGCTCTTCAGTTTGTTAGAATAATCAATTCTAGTGGTAGCGCTGCTTCTGAACCATAAACTAGGCTAAAGGGTGTCTCCTTAATTACAGTGCATGTCGTAGTCTGATACGCCCATAATACACTTGGCAGTTCATCTACACATCGCCCATTAGATGTGTCCGGTCTTGTCGCCAGGCCATGCACTAATGTTCTGTTTGTGAATTAAGTTTTCCATTCTGGACGCGCCACAAAGGTAAATTTTTGGTTGATCCTAAGGTCTTCATACCATTCCCGGAAAGGATTCTTTGCATACTGGGTATCGTTATCCGAAATGAGTGTATGGGGTACCCCAAATCGAAAAATAATTTCCTTCCAAAAGAGTCTTATAATATTCGGTCTGGTTATCGTTGCTAATGGTTCTGCCTCCACCCATTTGGTGAAGTAGTCTATTGTTACTACTAGGAACTTCACTTTCCTTGGTTCTTATGAAAAGGCCCCATAATATCTATGCCCCATTGAGCCAAAGGCTACGGGCTACTGATTTTAATCATTGGTGTAGATGAATTTCTTGTGATCGGTGCATGCTTTTGGAATTTCTCACATTTATAGAATATTTTTTCTGTATCTTGGTACATGGTCGGCCAGTAGTATCTGATTCTCGATATTTTTCTCACTACCGTTCGTACATCCTCATGTGCTCCTGCGACACCTTTGTGCATTTATCTTATGAGGTATTCTCCCTATTTTCCATTCACGCAACGTAGGTGAGGTGCTAAGTATCCTTTTTGTATAACACTCCATTATGCATTAGAAAATATGGTGCCTTGATTTGTACACTTTGTAGATTGTTTATCATCTTGTGGTAATTTTCCTTCTATCAGGTATTCTATTACTGGTTTCCTCCAGTCATCAGACTCTTCTACTATCGACACTACCGATGTTTCTTCTATTGCTTTGACATGGAGTATTTCTACTAAAACTTTCTTGGTCAAATGAGGGAATGTTAAGGATACTAGTTTGCTTAATGCATTCGCTTTTTTGTTCTTTGATCTTGGCATATGTTCTAACTGGAACCCTATAAACTGCTTTGCTAATATATTTACCTTGGTTTCGTATAACGCAAGATTTTTCCTTCGAATCTCGTATGAACCGTTGGTCTGGTTGTTGACAACCCAATTTTATAGCTAGCTATTATCCCACGATTAGTGCTTCATATTCTGATTCATTATTCGATTCTTGGAAGTCAAACCTTAAAGCATATGTTATCTCTTCTCATGTTGGACTTGTCGGTATTAATCTGGCCCCTGCTCCCTTAAGGCAAGAAGATCCATCGGTATATAACTTCCATTGCTCTTTTTGCGTGTCCTGTTTGTCTCCATCCTTAGCTTCCATTTTCCCCACTAATGATACTTCCTTATGACTTATTATTTCAACTATGAATTCTACAAATGAATGTGTCTTAATGTTGGTTCGGGGTTTGAATGCAATTTCGTCTTCTCCTAATTCTACGGCCCATTTAGCTAGTCGCCCAGACATTTTTTTGGCTTTAATAACACATGTCGTAATGGTATATTCGTGATGACTTCAATACTGTGTGCTAAGAAATACCTCCTTAATCGTCTGGCCGCATTTACCAAGGATAGTGCCAGTTTTTCCATATCGGTATATCCGATCTCTGCCCCTTGTAATATGCGACTCACAAAGTATATGGGTATTTGTTTATCTTCCCTGTTTGCTACCAATACAGTATTGGCTGTTTTCTTTGATGTTGCTAAGTATATTGTCAGAATTCTCCATGGATTGGTGATGTTAAAGTAGGAAGTTCTGTTAATGCTATTTTAAGTTTCCTAAATGCATTCTTTGCCTCCTCTGTCCATCTGTCCACCAGAATTCTTTTTGTCCAATACCCTTTTTAGCGTTTTATATAATGGGAACATCTTCTCTGCTGACTTAGCTAAGAATCGTCCTAATGCTACTAGTTTTCCATTTAGTACCTGTACCTCTTTTTACAGTCTTTAGTGAGCGCATTTCCAATAATGATTCTATATTCTATGGGTCTGCTCTTATTCCTTCCTCTGCAATGATGTGTCGTAGGAATTTTCTTTCTTCCGTCCAAAACAGACATTTCTTTGGGTTTAATTTCATGTTTATTGCCCTTAGATTTGCGAAGGTATCTTCTATGTCTCGTAAGAAGTGGTCATCATTTCGGCTCTTGATGACCATGTCGTCCACATATACTTCAATGTTCTTCCCTACTTGTGACTCAAATACTTTGTTTACTAGTCTTTGGTTTGTCGCTCCTGCATTCTTCAGCCTGAATGACATTTTTGTGTAGAAAAATGTTCCTCTATTTGTATGAAAGGATGTTTTTTCTTCGTCTCCTTTGAACATGTGTATTTGGTGATACCCCTTGTAAGCATTCAAAAAACTCTTCCATTTGTGTCCGTGCAAAAACTTGATCTTTTCATCTATGGATGGTAACGGGTAGCAGTCATTCGGGCATGCCTTGTTTAAGTTTGTGAAATTGACACACATTCTCCACTGCCCATCTTCTTTCTTTACCAATATTGGATTTTCTACCCACGACGGGAAATGTGATTCTCTCATTATTCATGTGTTGACTAACTTATCTACTTCGTTGTTTATTTCTTTATTTCTATCTTTTAACTGGCATCTTTTCCTCTGGCGGATTCGTTTGTTTCCCAGTTTATCATTTAATTTGTGTTCGATCAGTTTCCTTGGTACAACAGTCATATCGGATGCCTGCCAAGCAAATACATCAATACTTTCTTTTAAGAGCCTTTTCAATCCCTCTCATAGCTTAGTTGGTAGTCCTACTCCAATCCGTATTCCTTGCTCTGGGTGTTTTTCGATTATTACACCTTCTTATATGGCCTCTTGTTTTAGTTTAGATCCTGGCGTTGTTAAATTTGTTTCTTCCGATGTAAATATGGCGAATGGTGTTTCCAATGGTTTACCATAAATTGTTCCATACACACTTGGTGTTTTGAACTCAATTAGACCGTGTTGATGCAATGGCTTCAAACTTCTTCATAACGCTTCTCCCAAATGTTATATTATATGGTGATATCGACTGTATGATTGTGAAGTTTAATACCTATGTTTTTTCATCTTTTGTCAGTGGGTCTCTTAAAGTCAATGGTGCATATAGTATTCATTTAGGCCATACTGAATGTTCTGTGAAACTCATTAAATGCCATGCTGGTTGTTTGATCGTTTTCTTTATTTTCTCTAGTAATTGTAAGAAATAATGGTCATACATGATCTCGGTTGAGCTTCCACTGTAGCAGTATATCTGATGGACCCC